CCCTGCCTCTCGTTCCCCCAGCTTGTCCTCGGCTGGCTACTGGGCCCCAGCTGGGAACGGACGCAGGCGGCAGAGCCAGGGCCCAGGGTCTGACCGGCTCCGGCGGGCCAGCCCTGGCCGGGACGGGAATGTGACTGTTTATTTGGAATGGCTGCGCCCTGCCTCTGAGGGAGTTCAAGCGGTCAGATGTGTCCAAGCTGATTAGTGAAATCTGACAAGGATGTCACCAGGTTTGGGAGGAGGAAGGCCCCCGCCCGGCAGTGTCCCCAGTGCCCGATAGGCACCGGCCACCAATTATGGTTCGCAGAAAGTGGGGGTGAGAGGAGGTCAGGAGCCTCTGGAACATGTTTTTATAGGCTCCGTGGCCCCAGAGAGGCCTCGGTGGGGCACTCGGCTCACTGCAGAGCTGCTGTGGAGGCTGGGGGGCGCTGCCCCAAGGAGGAAATGCCCCCCGTACCCGGCGGCTCCTCGGTGGCTCCAGGCGCAGAGGGTGCAGCGGGCAGAGCCAGACCCATGACTCCAAACGCCGGCTCTGCTGTCCGGCTGAAAAACCGAGCCCCGGGCCCAGGGCCCCGTCTTTGGGTGGGACCTACTGGAAAGGGAAGGAGCAGAGCTGCCACCGGGACGCCCCGCCTGGCTCTGCCGCTCTGTAGAGCCCGGTGCCCCCAGCACACACCCACGCATGTCACCCGCACGGCACGCCCTGCCCCTCCCCGTGACGAAGTCCAAGCTCAGTGGGGTAAGAGGCCTGCCCGCCACTGCAAAGGGCTCAGGCTGGTTCTCACTTCAGTCCTTTCCATCTGAAACCCCTACGCCTCTCCTTGCGCTTCCCAACCTTTTACCAAACTTGCTGCCCAAGGTCCAAAATCAGTGTGTCGGGGGGTGCGCTCCCCTTGGAGTCTCTCAGAGACAAGTCCTTCCCCGCCTCTCTCTCCGGGTCTGGTGGCTTCAGGCACCCACTGGCGTTGCGCGGCCTGGGGACACATCGCGCCAGTCTCGGCCTCGGGCCCCGCCCTTCCTGTCAGTCTGGGTCCCTGGGCACCCACCATGGGGTAAAGCGCCCGCCCTAACGGGGAAGGGCTCCTCTTGAGATCCTTACTTTAAGTACATCTGTAAGACTGGGTCCAGATCAGGGCACTTCTGAGCTTCTACGTGGATATGGCTTTTGCGGTTCACAGCTCTACCCCCTACACCCCACCCCGCCCTCATCCCGAGAGCTCGCCCACATCCATCCTGTGTGTGACACACGTTCCCCGCACCCCTGCATCCCCGAAGTCCCACCTCGCCGGCGCACACTCTAAGTCCCAAGTGTCTGGTAAGCATCATCAGCTCAAAACTAGCATTTCTCCCGCCTAATCAGGCCTGGGTGATACTGACAAGACCCATCCCGGGGCCAAACGCCTCCCCGTCTGCAGATGCGTGAAACGAAAAGACAAGTTTTCTGCTTGTAAGACAGAGGCACGGGAGACAATGAAGGGAACACAGAGGTCACGGGACCCAAGCAAACCTGAAGCCCAACGGAGCCAATTCCCTTAGCTTTCCTGGCCTGCGAGTGACCCTCTGTGGCTTCGTCCCCCGCCCTCTGGGCCCACAGCGGCTCCATGGGCCCCTCTGCCTTCAGGCTTCCTCTCTGGCCTCTGCCTCCGTGTCCACAGCTCTGCCCCCGGGGCCGTTCTCCCCGCTGCTTGAAGGATCACACAAGTTAGTGCAGGAATTCTATCAGCCCGTTTCCTACAGTTAGGGTACCAGAAGGCCAAGTGCTCTCTCTGTTTTAAACGTCTCACCGGGTCTGTCCCTTTCCGTCCAGCCGTCAGTGTGTGTGCTGACACAACACTGTCGAGAACCTTGAGCATGCCACGGGACCCCCGCCACTACACAAGGGACCTCCACGGCCCCTGGAGAAGAAGCCTGCTCTAGTCCTGGCTTCTGCCGGACGCACAAGTCACACACCCACTCTCCGCAGCAAAGGCTGTCTGGCCTCACCGCTGCCTTTCCCCAGAGCACGCTCTCTCAAAGTCAAGTTCCCACTTTCAGCGTCCTTTGGGACCTGGAGGGCGGAGAGTCTCCCAGCTCATCAAGGCGGGCTTCTTGTGGCTAACGGTGCCATCTCGAGGTCACTCCTTTCCTCTCACGTTTTACTGGAGGCGGTGAAGGAGAAACCACGCTTCAGCTGGAAAATTCCGCAGCCAAACATCCGAAGTTCACTACTTACAAACGATGCTTTCCCTGACCGGCAAATTAGAGAAGAACACGGCGACGGAGGGGTGAAGAGCAGGCTGGGGTAGACGGGGGGACACACGCAAGAGGAGAATCACACTTGTACTTGCCTAACCCTTTGCACATGCCTGAGCACCGCAGCTCAGTCACTGGGAGCTCGAGACACAAGCTCCGTCTTTATAAGGATGAGAAAAGTAGTCAAAGGCCTCAGAACATGTCCCCGCTCAAACGTCCCTGTCGGCCCACGTGGCTGACTATTTGTGCCTCGGCCCTCACTAGGTTCACACTTCGGGTCGAGTGCGGCAGCCGTTGCCCCCGACGTCAAGCACCTGCCCTCCCTTGGGTACCGCACCTCAAAGTCTACGTCCCACGGCGACTTCTGTGGACGCCTCCTTCCTGCCCCCGCGCTGCTCTGCTCCCCCAGGCTGCGACAGGTCTTCTCCCAAGGCAGAGGGGATGCTGGGTCGGGGTGGCCCTGGGGTCTGCCACAGGGAGCACCCAGAAGGCAAAGAAATTTGGCACTTGATTCACTCTCTGTTCCGGCTAAGAATTAAAGTGCAGCGCCATAATAATCTTAACTGTGTTCAATGGAAGTGTGGTTTGTTTTCACAATGTTGTGCTTTATTTTTCTAAGATTTACACTTTTAGTCCCTGGCGCAACACGGACTGGATTTGAGTGGGATTTATCCAGGACTAGTGGTAGTCAGAGGGGGGCCTACAGCAGCCGTGGAGGACAGGATTAGGACTTGAGGACTCGGGTCCTGTGTCCGCGGAGGCGCTGGGACTCGGAAGGGCAGGGCCTTGTCCTTCAACTCCCGCTGCCGCCCCAGGGAGCCCGGGACCCGGCCGGTCTCAGGCCTATACAGGAAGCTTGACTGTTCTTGGTCCTCCCCGGTCAGGAGGCTCATCCCTCATAACCTCAGCCCCGCAGGAGGAAGCAATGGCCACAGCACCATAAAACGAGCGAAGGGGGGTGATTTAAACCAGAGATTTCCTCTACCTGGGGAAGCCCCGGCCATTCCTCTCGTTCCTAAAATGCGCCTCTCCTACATCGTCCCAGGCTGTCCTAGACCAGAAAAGGCCAACACAAGGGATAGGTGCCTCTCGCCCTTCCCTTGCTCGGGGCAGACACTATAATCCTGGCTCTGCCCCCAACAGGTCTATTTTCTATGTCAACGAGGCTGAGCCGCTGTACTGAGATATTTGGTCAAGCACTATTCTGGATATTTCTGTGAGGGTTTTTAAATTTTTTTGAATGTTTATTTACTTCTGAGAGAGAAAGACAGAGTGTGAGCAAGAGAGGGGAAGAGAGAGGGAGACACAGAATCTGAAGCAAGTGCCAGGCTCCGAGCTGTCAGCACAGAGCCCGATGTGGGGCCTGGACCCACGAGCTGTGAGATCATGGCCTGAGCTGAAGTTGGACACTTAACCGACTGAGCCACCCAGGCGCCCTAACGTGAGGGTTTTTGAGCAATGAGATTAACACTAAGACTGAGTAAAAAAGAAACCAATTAATTAAAAAAAAAAAAAAGACTTTGAGTAAAGCAGATTACCCTCCATAACGTGGGTAAACCCCGTCCAATCAGCTAAAGGCCTGAACAGAAAGACTGACCTCCTGGGAAGAGGAAAAGTTCTGCTGGTGGGCGGGCTCCAGGCGTGCGCCGCAGCTCTTCCCTGCGGCCCCATCGCGGCGGGCCTTTCCCGCAGACGCTGCACCTGCGGGGCCTCGTGACCACGCGGGCCAGCTCCTTCAAACGCACCCCCCTTCTCTCTGTCCATGCGGGTACACACATCTTCCTGGTTCTGACTTCCTGGAGGACCCTGACGAATACACCCAGGGGCCTGGACAACCTCACGCCCTGTCTCTACCCAGCCGTCCAGGAAGAACTCCCAATTAGCAGGCGAAGCGAACTCGCTGACTAGCGCCGTGTGCATCCAGAAGCTGGTACTGCCCCCGGCTTAGTGCGCGGGGCCAAGTGTGCGGCGCCGTGTCCCCTCACCCCAGGCTCCTCTGAGATCGACACAAGCACCCGGGGCCCCAGGGTTCCTCAGAGCCTCTTCCTAGTCCTAACAAGGCCTCGTCCCCCTGACGAGAGGGGTGGTTGAGGAGGCTCCAAGGTTTTCTTTGCCAGTAAACCAAACCCAGAAGAAAAGTCCGCGGGAGACGGGAACTATCAAGGTCGCTGGACACCTTTGAAACCAGAGCCAGGCTGGCATTACCGGGAGGTGGGGGCCACAGGGAGACACCCAGCCATCCATCCCTCTCCCAGGTCTTCGGAGGGACGACGTGGCACCTATAGGTGGTCACCAAGAGTGTAAGGCTCATCCGGACATCTTCCAGATTTTACGACCCTGAGCGACACAGGATTCTAACCGTGTTTAACTTGAAATTCTCGTGGCTAAGAAAAAGTACCCAGAAGTAAGTACATGCACTTCCCGCCCTGGTGTGCGGAGCCTGGAGAAGAGGAGGGCGCACCCCTGCACCTCAGCTGTAGGCATGAGGTCCCGAGCCCGCCACACCTTCCAGAGCTTCCGTGTCTTTCGCGCGGGGCGCCTGCCTGCTCAGAGGCTCATGACGGCTCGCACGGGCCTCCGGTGCAGCGGCGCCGCTGAGGGACTCAGGGCGCGTGCGGCTCTGGAACCCGGGCAGGGCGGCTGAGGAGACGGAGCGCGGCAGAGCCGGAAGGCCGGCCCCAGGAGGGGGCCCAGGGGAGGCAAGGGGACCGTCCCTCTCCGTAGCCGCCAGACAGACAGGCCAAAAGGAAGGACGCGGGAAGACTCACCTTGAGGGCAGGAATCTCCACGCTGTCGCCGAGGCTGATGGAGCCCGAGAGGATGGTCCCTGTCATCACAGTGCCTTGGCCCTTGATGGAGAAACAGTGGTCCACGGACATGAGGAAGGGTCCCGAGGGGTCCCTCGCCGGCACGGAAATCTGGGACGTCAGGAGCTAGAAGAGAGATGCCGGTGCCACACCCTGTCGGGGACGGGAGCGGAACGGGGCAGGGGCGGGGAGGGCAGGGTGAGCAGCCAGCCGGCCCGATCAGAGCGGACAGCGCCCCGCTGACGCTCCGAATGGCTGCCGGGCTCTCGGCTCCTCTCGGTTCACAGGAAAGGGGCCCTTCCTCTCATCGGGATGGCGAACGGCCTCCTGACAGGCCGGCCCCCAGGCCCCTCCGCGCAGCACACAGGGACCCGCTGCAGGACAGCCTCGGACACACCGCTCTCAGCCTCATGCTGTCCCGGCCTTCGGGGCCTGCAGAATCCGAGAAGTGTCGTCGCCCAGCCCCTGGGTACCGTGGGGCCTCCTTCCCCGCCGCCCGCCCGCGCCCGGCAGGCACCAGGCACCAGGCACCGGCCGCTGGCAGGCCCTGCAAGTCCACCCGCTACCTTCACCTCCCTTCTCCAGGGAGGCAGCGCCGCAGGGAAGGCTCCCCCCCGCCCCCCGCAGCGCTGCTGTGATCACTTGTTTATCTGTGTCCCTCTTAGGGCCCTGGGTCCCTCCAAGCATCTCTAGCTGCTGGCTCCGTGCCCAAGAGAGGGACAGTGACCAAAGGATGCGGGAGAGCAGGGCCCTTGCCACGTGTGGCGGGGGGGGCGGGGTGAAGGCCATTTCTCCAAGCCCCGGCAGAGACACAGGCCGGCGCTGCCCCCTCTGCCTGCGGTTCTGGGCGTTCTCCTCTGCTGACACTTTCCACGCGCTACGACCTCAGCCAGCCTGCCTTCCTCCTGCTATCTACGTGCTCGGAAATGTCAGGGCTAATTCCTAATAAAGAAGCGAAAATAAAGACTGCATTATTCCTTTGATTTTGCTGCCTTCTCATTTGGTTAGGAAAGAGGCTGTCAAAAAGTCCTGGGCAGTGAAGGTTCCAGACTCCAAGCCTTGCAATAACAATTCTGGGAAAAGACTAGAGATCCAAAACAGGCTTGGCCTGGGATTTACGTGGAAGCTTCTTAAAGGAGTAGACATACATCTTTCAGGGCAGCGCTGGTGAATTTTGCTTTAGTAAAAGTAAGTGTCCCAGGCTCCCAGACCAGTGCTCTCTGGAATAACAAGAGCCTCACCCAGAAAAGGTCTGCTCTGCATCAGCCAGACCAGTACCTAGTTATCACAGGCACGGTGATGTGTACTCGGTCCCATGTGGTCTTGGCTCTGTGGGTCCAGGTGCAGGCGGACCCCAAGGACACCCAACAACCAATCTGGGACCGAATGCCAACTCTGCCACACACGTGCTGTGAGACCTTGGGCAAGTTACTTGACTTCTCTGACTCTGACTTTCCTTGGTAAGACACAGCTAAAGAACTTAAGCCTCCCAGGGCCACTGTGAACGCTAACGATCGCTGTGAAAAGCTTACTAGTGACCACTTAACCCTCACACTGACTCCACAGGGGAGGGGTGATGGGATTTTTCCTACAACTGAGGGGAGAGAGGCGAGAGGCAGTGGGCAGTAGGCCCCGCACGTAGCCCCAGGGCCGAGGCACCTCGCCACTCCACCCCTCTGGGCACCACTCCACCCCTCTGGGCGAGGAACACTGAGGCCCCTTTCTCACCACCATCGTCCCAGCGGCATCCTCACCACCCGCCATCCCCAGTGGGGGCCCTCTGCCCCCCACCCCCCGGTGCCGCATGTGGCTGGGCTCCCTCCCTTGATCTATCTACTACCACAGGTCTGGACGCAGAGCCTGTGCCTCAGAGGCTCCATTATATGGCCGAGACCACGAGGACCTGAGGCGCACGGCCCATCTCCATCAGCCAGGGGGACGCACGGGGGCACGGCATGGTCTCCAGGAGGCGGGGGCTGCTGGGTCCGGGTGGGGGTGTTGGGCAACAGGAAGGAAAAACAAAGACCTATGGGGTGTGGACAGCTGGGCAGGACTTTGAACTAGAGAGTGAGGCCTCCGCTTCTGTTTTGGTTTGACTTCTGGAGGGAGGTGAGGGAGGGTGCGCTAAGGTGGGCCTGTGGGGGGGGAGGGAGGTGCGCTAAGATGAGCTTGGGGAAGGAGGAGGGGGGAGGGGGAGAGGGGAGGGGGAGGGGGGAGGGAGGAGGGGAGGGAGGGGGAGTTAAGGTGCGCCTGCGCAGGGGAGGGGTGGCGGTAGTTAAAGGAACCTGCTCGAGTCCTCTCGCTGGGGTGCCTCCTCTCTCGCTCCCCCTCAGACCACGCAGGACACGAAGGGGGCCTCCTGAGGGGGCTGGGGCCGGCGGCCGGCCAGGGTGCAAGTACCTCAATGAGCTCGGAGATGCCCTGTGGAGTTTCAGTTTCAGGGGCCTCCGGCCCCCCAGGCCTGGCCGCCACGGGTATAATGGGTGCGCCTCGGAACCTGAAATGGAAACACAAGCGCCACCAAGTTACAGAGGCCATCGGCACGGACACAGCCACCTGCGGGGCCCCAGGCACTAGGGACAGCCTCCCCTCCATCCTTCCAGAAGCATCAAGGAAGAGCATCCTATCGTTTTCCCACTCAGCAGATGAGGAAACGGAGGCCCCACAAGGAAACCTCTGGATTGGATGACAGAATTTAAAAGGGGGCTCCTAGGTTTTAAGCACCACTTCCAGAGCCCACTCTGCGGAGGCAGCAGTGACCCCCGGCCCCCAGGACGCTGAAGAACAACAGGAAATACCTCCCAGTTTCCTTGCAGAGATTCAGGAAATACTGCTTACCAAAAAGTCCCTGAAGGCGTGTCTGGAAAGGCACTTCCACCATCCCAGCGTCTAATGGGAGTGCTCCTGCCTGGGCCCTCCTGAAGAGCCCCCCACCCCGTCTTAAAGAAGAGATTCTTACTGTGAGTAAACATTTATCTTTCTCAGTGATTAAAAAAAATGGAGAAGGGAGCACATACGACCCAAAACCCTGACATTGCCGTGTGTTTTCGTCCAACCTCGGGTTTTCCCTGCATTGCCAGGGATTTTTCTTCTATCTTGGTTGTAGCATGCCTAAACTTTCACATCCTTCTAGAGTATTTGCCGGTAGATCATACCAAGTTTTCTGTTGGATGCCAGCCACAACAGGGATAACGACTCACTCAGCGGAGCCAAGCATATTGCCTGCTGGATGCCTTCACTGGTAGCTCACAGCACTGCGACGGAACTGTCACCATTTTTTAAAAAATTTTCAATGCTTATTTTTGAGAGAGAGAGAGACCGAGTGTGAGCAGGGGAAGGGAGGAGAGAGACGGAGACACGGAATCCGAAGCAGCTCCAGGCTCTGAGCTGTCAGCACAGAGCCCAACGCGGGGCTCGAACTCCCGGACCGCGAGATCATGACCTGAGCCGAAGTCAGACGCTTCACCGACCGAGCCCCCCGGGTGCCCCAGAACTGCCGCCATTCTATAGATGAGAAACTGAGGCTGAGAGGGGCAAGTTAACGTGCTCCCAGTCACTGGAGCGGCCACAGTCCAGCCCCTCTGTCCCTAGAGAGAAGGCCCACAGCCCCGTGTTACAATTCCACCACCCAGCCCTCCGCTTTCATTTCATTCTCTGGCAAAAATGATCAGAAGCAACGTTTCCAGAATTCTAGAAATTAACCAAAGGTTTGCACAATCTGTGTGGAATGTTTATTCGAGAAAAATGGCTGAATCTTGGGAAGAATAAAAGAGCTTTGCGGCAGGGCGCCTGGCTGGCTCGGTCAGTTGGGCATCCAACTCCTGGTTTTAACTCAGGTCATGATCTCACGGTTCGTGGGATCGATCCCTGTGGTCGGGCTGTGCGCTGATCGGATGGAACCTGCTTGGGATTCTCTCTCTCCCCCTCCCTCTGCCCCTTCTTCATTTGTGCGTGTGCTCGCTCTCAAAATAAATAAATAAACGGGAAATGAAAAAGCTTTCAGGCACTTTAACTTGCCTTATTCCCATCCACCCCTCCCCATTGCTGCACTAGCCCTGTTAACCGTCATCTGCAGTCAGAACGGAAGCCAGCCGTCTGACAGCTACTGAGGGGGCAGAATGGGTTGAGTTCCATCAAACCCCCCTTCCCAGAGAACTGTCATGATTTCCCTGTCTGGTAGCTCCCTGGAAGACTCTACTCACAAGGCCATCTTTACATTCCAGCTTTGGAGTATGCCCAGTCTGAAGTGCACTTTCCTCGAGGGCGTTTGTTGAAAACAATTAGAGGCAATTGTTTATTACCACAGCTGCCTGAGGCAGAGGGTAACAATCTGGGCAAACTGGCCGACCACAAAGCATAGACAGAAAAGTGGGGTGCCTCCCTGGGAGGTCTGGAGGTCTCCTGGTAATCTATAAGGCTGTCTGCAGGCAAAAGCTGTGGACATGGCTGGGCACTATGAACGGTCAGCAAAGACATGAGAAGGCCCCAAACTCTCGCCTCCGGCTGATCTTCAGAGTCCACGTAAGCAGGAAGTGAAGGCCAAGGCAGAGTTGTCAAACGCCTGTCTGAGCACTGAAAGCGTGCCCAATGTGCACACAGAAGTCCTTGGCAGGGGCGCCTGGGTGGCTCAGTCGGTTAAGCGTCCGACTTTGGCTCACATCATGATCTCGCGGTCGGTGGGTTTGAGTTCCGAACTGGGCTCTATGCTAATAGCTTGGAGCCTAGAACCTGCTTTGGATTCTGTGTCTCTCTCTCTCTGCCTCTCCTCCACTTGTGCTCTGTCTCTCTCTCTTTCCCTCAAAAATAAACAGTAAAAAAATTATTTTTAAATCCTTGACAAAGATTGGGAGACTTATTGATTTGAGGCTTAATGGAAATGTCTAATCATTACGTGACCCGTGAGTTAAATGAGCAAAGGCCTCAGTGGTCACATATGACTTTACAGAATTATTTCACAAAAGCCACTAACAAAATAATAAAAACAAACTACGAAAGTGTGGGTGAAAAGGAGAATCTGATGTCCAGAACTGCCACATTATGTTATTCTACATGTCCCGTGTTCAACCAAAAAACAGCAATACAACAAAGAAACAAAAGTATGGTCCATCCATAAGAAAAAAAGGAGTCAGTAAAAATTGCTCTTGAGAAAGCCCTACTAGCCAAAAGCTTAAAGTCTGCTATTTTAAATATATTCAAGAAATAAAAAGAAACCATGTCCAAAGAGCTAAAGGAAAGAATGAAGATAATGTGTCACCAAATAGGAAATATCAAAAAAGTGTTAGAAATTACAAAAAAGAACCAAATAGAAATTCCGGAGTTGAAAAATACAATGACTAAAATGAAAAATTCCCTGGAGAAGCTCAACGGCCGATTTGAGCAGGCAGAAGAATCAAGAAACTGGAAAACAGGTCAGCGGAGATTACGCAATCTGAATAAAACAAAGGAAAAAGAGAGAAATGAACACAGCCTCAAAGGTACATGACACATCACGTATGTATATCAACACACACACACTGAGATCCACACTGAGAAGTCCCGAAACAAAGGGAAGAGATGGGGCAGAAAGATCTGAATACACTTCCCAAACTTTGGAAGTTTTGGAGGGACATCTACAAAGCTCAGTAAATTCCAAGTAGGGAAAACTCAGGGATGTGACCTACACATCATAATCAAACCGTCAGAGCCAATGCCAAGGAGGAAGCAGCGAGAGAGAAGCGGCTCATTCGGTACAAGGCGTTCTCAGTAAGGTTAACAGCTGGCCTCTCTCTCATCAGAAACCCGGCAGCCAATCCCCCAAACCTAAATGACAACGACAATAACAACAACACCGCCCAAAATCCATCATAGAGTATTTATCAAATACATGAATAAGTGAACAAGTTAAAAACAGAAAAAGAAAAAGAAATCATGGCAGCTTAGAAGGTAATGGGAGGACATATTCAAAATGCTGGAAGAAAAAAAAAGTCAACCAACACTTGCGTTTCCGGCAAAATAAACCTGCTTCAAAAACGAAGGAAGTATAGAATTACTATAGGGCCCAGAAATGTCTATGCATAAACCCAAAAGAATGGGAGACAGGTACTCAAACAAATACAGGTACACGTGTAAGAGCTCTGTTCACAAAAGCCAAAAGGTGGAAACAGCCTAAGTGGCCGTCAGTGCTAAGTGCAGCAAGTGAAAGAAGCCAGATATAAGAGGTCACATATTGTGTGATTTTTATGAAAAGCCCAGAATAGGTTGATCCAGAGGGACGGGAACCAGATTGGTGGTTTCCAGGGCTGAGGGAATAGGAGAGAGCTGCTTAATGGGTACAGGGGTTTTGAAATCAGATAGTGGTGATGGTCGTGTAATTCTATACACAATAAAAGGGTGAATTTTATGGTATGTGATTTATCTCAACTAAAAAAGAAAAAAAAACCACACATTGAAAGGGTTGCTACCCTTTTCACTACCACAGTGAACATCTGGGATGTCTGACTCGCTAACCAAACATCAAAAGCTCATTATTTTTTAGACATACCTCATTTTAATTTGTATTTCCTTAATAAGCCCGATAACGCTGAACGTCTTCCGTCTACTCATATACTAAGTGTACTTTCAGGGGTCATTTCCACACCACTTCTGGTTCTGGTCTTTGGCTCCTCCCGTAGACGCACCCTTACCTTCCCCTGACTCTAAAAATTGCTCTGAAGTGCCTCTTTGTGCACCATCCAGGGTCCGCCACAGTGGGAGTGAGGGGAAGGGACAGGGCCAAGTATGGACAGTCCCAGCGTCTGTGCTAGAAGCTCTGCGCGTCTCATCTCATCAGCCCCACGAGGCGGCTGTTATTAACCCTCCTCCGATTTTACAGAAGGGGGTCCCAAGCCGGCCAGGTGCTGTCATTTGCTCTAGGTCACACGGGCTATGGTTAAAAGCCAGCTCTGGGTTTACCATCCCCCTGAGAATATCAAGAGAAAAGTGTCCCATCAGCCTGGGTTAGAGGCAGGGCTGTGTGCCGTTTCCCAAACCCATGAGAATTTGGAAAGTGGCTGATCTTCAAGGTCAGGGAAATAACATATTTAAGTCCCACAAACAGATTAACAAAGTCCTTGCCCTTTAGTAATTTTTATTCTCAAACCGATGAAAGAAAGATGACGATAACCATAACGACAGTACTTAATAGTCTCACAGTTTGCTCTCACTTTCAAATAAAGACATAAACCTACCGGATCCTTAAAACAACTCTTGGAGGTAGGAAGATGTTAACATTCCCATAACACTATCTGAGCGCTACGTGACTATGGCGTCATGCTTGGCTAAACGCTTTCACGCGTATCGCCCCATTTACCCCTCGTGGTGATGATGTGAGGGATAAAATGGGCATTTTAGAGCTGGGGAAACTGAGGCACAGAGAGGTTAAACGATTGCTGGAGGGTCATAAGTGAAGTAAATGGCAGAAGCAGGAAGCCCTGTTCTGGGGTTCTGTCCCTCCCACTTTGCTGGACACCCCAAGGGCGG